ACATCAAAATAAAAAAAATTTGTACATTAAAGGATACTATCAAGAAAGTCAAATTAATGATTAAATAAATAAACAAGTTCATGGAAAATGCAAGATGAAAGTAGCAGTGACTTAAACAAAAATTATGGTAGAGTTTAAAAATTTAGCTATTATTCAACTTCAAAGTCTCCCTCAAAAACTGCATCAAAATCATATTTGTTGAAGGACAATGAACAATAGCACACACAGGAAATGAACAGTGTTGCATTAACAATAGTTTGGGCAACAGCAACATAGATACAAGGTTGTGAACTTGGACAATGTTCTTGCTATAATGAACTCCGATACCTGTGATTGATGGCTCATCAATACATTTTGAGACATGCTGACAGTATCTGGCTTTAAGGGGCACTTATATATATATGCAGGAGGATGATATTGTAACAAACTAATCAGTGTTCCAAATTATTCTGTTACCCAGTAAACCCCCTCCACGGGACAGTCCATCAAAAGTTATCCAGCACAAAAAGAGGATGAAATTTCAGACACTAGGAATGTGTGTTTTAAATCAAGTTGAAGAGGCAAAATCACACAAACTTAGGAAAATTTGAAATCAGAAAGAGCCAAGGATTTTCTATATTGCGAGAATACGTAGAAGAAAAAACACACAAGACGTGAGAGTAAACTACGGGGGTCAGATAACATGGGGATCTCTAGAAGGCTGTGTGTTCTGACTTCAAACTCAAAGATGAGTGCCCGAAACACTGAGATATGACCCCCACGAAGGACTGAGGATCAGAGAGTAGGTATCTGTCACCACTGTTTTTACAGTAGTGCTGAGTAAAAAATCTGAAAAGATCCACACCACTCCCGTTACACATACTTCTGACAACTGGCAAAAGCAGAACTAAAAAAATGGCTGAGAGTCCTCAAGAAGCACAGAGGGACTGAGACAGCCCCATTCACTTGCCTGGGGCCCCAGGTGCCAATGTTTTCCCATCCTGTAACAAAGTGTAAGAAAGTCTCTCAAGTACAGAAACGGCAATGGAACCTGGAAGAGGACTGGGGCCAGCACTGGGGAGGCCTCAACTCTGATCTGTATGGACTGAGAACTGAAAATAGAATAAGAGATCGAGGAAGAAAGAGGACCCCTTAGAAACACACTCTCAGTGCCCCTCAAGGTGAAGGTACCGAAGAGATCATGGGGCAGATAGGAGTGCTCTAAATCCTTATAAAGACTTTGCTTTGGTCTTTGCATGAGCTGCTGCCGCACCACCACAGGTTGGAAGGATGAACTTTCACAAGTCTGAAAAAGAGAGTAAATGGAAAAGGAAAAAAAATTTCCTTTGGGGGCTCACAAGAAATAAAACTTTTATTTTCCTACAGACCTCTCACATTTGGGGAGTTTCTCAAACACTATTAAATGGTGCAACTTCCTCTCTGTCCATCTGAAATCTTACCTATGTTCACAACTTAGATATACTCCTATTCATTTAGTATTCTTTGCTATTTTCACCTTGCTCTCCACAGTCCAGGGCTCTTTCCCTTGCTTCAAAATGGAGATAATATTTAGGTCAGAAAGAGAGATTTCTGCTGTAAGAAGAAAAGATCATGATGTGCTGTGGCTTTTCCAAAATACAATCCCGGCCCTTTGTTCAGCTGAGAGGATATTACAGATGGGTCTAGGAAAAATATTTCACAAATTCATCCACTGACTGTTTCCTTCTGAGTGCTTAAGGCATATTTTAAATATAAAGATTATCTAGCTCTTTTCAAAGAATTTATTGAATCAAGTGTACAGAGATAAAACCGGATCCAGAATCAGATATTTTTAAAAGATTGCCATAAGGTTTTGTGCTTACTGAACTTCTGGAACCAATACTACTATAGCATGAAGTGGGCAGCCCATCTGAAGAAAAGAGAAGGTTAAAAAGTCCAGATGCTGCATTGTGAAGCTTTTTATTTCAGCAACAGCACAGCTTCCAACTCTGTCAAGCAAGGCAGGGGCTCCGAAAAGACTCACTGGGGCAGATCCCGACTTCTGGAGGGACGTTATCTCCACCCAGGGAGACCAGGTTCCTGTAGGTCTCCAACATCACGTCCCTGTATAAAGCCCTCTGAGCAGGGTCCAGGCATTTCCACTCTTCCTGAGAGAATTCTATGGCTACATCCCTGAATGTCAACAGACCCTGAAAAGAAAAACACATTTCATCCAGCAGATACAGGGAGAGTTCTTAACACAAAATGTGAGCTAGAGAGAGGTGTTAAGGATCAATTCTAATGGACTGAGTGTTTTGACAGATCATTTTGAGCAAGATCAGATCATTCTGAGCAATTTATATAACCCTAATTTTGTTTTATGATACTTTTACATTAGCAGATAGGAA